TAATTAAGTGCCATAATAAATAAAAATAAGTTTAAATTAGAGTTATGCCAAAGTGCTGCAATAATTTTGTGATTTGCTGGAATTACCTCTTATTTATTGTTTAAGAACAAAATTTCATTTAATAAAAATATTTTATTGTAAGAAAACTAATTTCATTTAAAAAGCTTCATGACTTGTCTACAATAATCATTCAGTCACTTTGATTTATTTTAATGTTCTCATAACTTTCATAAAACGCGATAAGTTTTGGGACCACTACATAATTTAATTCTAGTAACATTAGTACTATCAAATTCACATAAAATAACTATCAAATAATTTCAATATTTTGTGTCATTTTAAGATTTCCGAATTTCGGGATTTCGTGAAAATTACCCACATACGTTGAAGGCGAAAGCATTTTTCAACTTACTGAGAAAAAAAAAAAGAATGAATGGCAACATTTTCTTTTGACTGCCAGAAGAATTTGGTACTACCCAAAGTTCTAGATCAAAGTTGCTATTATAGTAGGCAACTATATTTGTACAATTTTGTAATAATTCGTGGGTCTTTACTCCTTCCTCTAATGACCCTTTGAATAAAGACAATTCTCACTCATACGTCTGGACTGAAAATGAGCACTTTAAAGGAAGTAATAAAATAGCATCTGCTGTTTATTATACACTTAATCAAAGTGATCTGACAAATGTAAATCACATCCGTCTGGTGGCTGTGGCGGACAAAATAAAAATAGCGTAATGTTAGCTATGTGTTCTCGTTGGCTTTTAGACAATGGGTTTATAAAAAATATGGAATTGGTGTTTCCTGTAACAGGTCACTTATTTATGCCCGCAGATAGAATTTTCGGTAATATCGAGAAAGAAATACGCAAGAGAGAACTCATCACTTCTCCTTCTGAGTATGTGGCAATTATTGGCCAAAAATAGGGTCTTAATACCAATAAGAACGTCCTGGTTTAAAAATTGAATAAAATACACAATTTTTTATGAAAAATGCATCCGATTGATTTATTTGATAGATAATTTTATGCAATTTGTTTTAAATAATAAATCGGCCAAATGACCGCCGCGGCTCTTTTTGCAGACGGTCACCCGCTCACGCCAATTTTCGATGACGCGGTGCACCATTTCGGCCGGTATGTCGGCTATGGCTCGTCGAATGTTGGTTTTTAGGTCACGAATTGTAGCTGGATTATTGCTGTACACTTTAGATTTAACGTAACCCCAAAGAAAATAGTCTAAAGGTGTTAAATCACACAATCTTGGTGGCCAACTGATCGGTCCATTTCTCGAAATTAACGACTCACCAAACTTTCCACGCAATAATTCCATGTTCACTCGAGTAATGTGAGGTGGTGCACCGTCTTTTTGAAAATAAAGGTCGTCTGCATCAATATCATCAAATTCCGGAAAGTAATATTAGCCTCAACTCTTGTGAACGGCGTTGAACTGATCGATTTGAATTCGCATCAACACTGGCCTGAACGGCTGCGATATTCTCTTCACTACGGGCATTTCTTTGTCTTACAGGCACAGTAGTATCGTGGAGAGTGAATTCACTTTCAAAATTTGTTATTATGCGATTTAGAGCGCGCACAGAAGGAGCACTATGACGAACGTTTTTCGCGCGAAGCGCTCTTACTGTAGCGGTAGGAGAACGCGAATTTGCGTAATAATTTTGGACAATTTCCAAGCGTTGGTTTAAAGTGAAACGTGACATGATAAAATGGCAAACCAACGATTCATAAGTAAAAGATCCAAAAATTTTGGAAATGTTTTGGTACGCGAAGAGATGTTTTTCAATTCAGATACGGGAGTACCAAAAAGCATCTGCAAAGTTGGGAAAAAAGCAGAAATGATACGGGCTTCTGTAATTCCGAAAGGTGTGGAGGTTAAAAAACTGAAACTCCGAGACGTTAGGAAGCTCCTTACAAACCATTATGGCGACCATTGGCCAAACAGCTAAGTTTATTTTAATTTATTGTACATCTATTTAAGTCACCACGAGGGTTGTTCAAGTGCCTTGGTCATAGATTTATATTCCTACACTAAGTCTTTAGGAGGTTTTCTCTTTTATAACGGGCAAAAATACAATGCAATGATCGTTTTTTTCTTTTTGTGAAAAATTTGGCGTATTGGATAAAGCTGCCGTTGATTCTATTCACCTCATATGTAGTAGTATAGTATAGTGTGTATATGTAGTATATTTTTAAACACACTGCCCACTCAAGGACTAATTCACTCTTAGTTATTGGTTTAAATAATTTGAAAAGTTGATTGAATTCGTGTGACAATGCTTATTAATTATAATTAAATAATATTTGTGATTTTAGGCAGTTGTGGGACCATCAAGAGAATTTCTCGATATAGTGGCACGATGGACTGGGAGTACTCATGACAGCCGTATATTTCAAAGGAGTTCATTAAAAATGAAATACATACAAAGGATCCATGATGGGATACTGGTAGGGGATCGTGGTTATCCTTACTTACCATACCTCTTAACACCTGTGAACTCACCAACCACTTTCTCTGAACAAGTATACAACAAAGTGCAGGCCAGAACACGTAATATCGTAGAAAGGACGTTTGCTATGTGGAAAAGAAGATTTCCTTGTCTACGTAGAGGTTTAGGCAATAAGCCTACAAGTCTCAAACAATTATCTACAGTATCAAATATTATAGTGGCATGTACCATATTGTTCAACATTGGTCTTCGACTAAATGAGAAGATATCATCTGAGCATGAAGGTATCAATGATGAAATTGATGAACCAGAGCCACCAACAGATCAAGCAGCCAATGTAGGCTCAGTGGACGGATTTGCCATACGTCAAGCAATTATTGATGGTTACAATTAAATTATATTTAACATAAAAAATATTAAATTAGTTTTATTTTTTAGAATGCCTAAACTTTCCATTAGTCAAATATGTCTGATAACTGAATCTGTCTCCTAACACTCACCTAGAGTATCAGAGTCGAGAGCGTTTGGTATCTCTACTAGGAGAGCTGGTGCAATTTCTGCGACATTTGCATTGATTACAGCATCAGGACAAGGACCTCCTCCATCTATGCTGTCGTTCTCTTGTAAGAGAGTCCATATGGCGTGTTTTAAGGTTGGTCCAAAGGCGGCGTAATTGTTCTTCTGTAGCCTGCAGCATAAGCAGAACCACAATAATCTAGGAACATTTTACTTATGACAAATTACATTTAAAAACACAAAATATTCTTACTGATTCTGTTACAACAGCTGAGGTATTAAATCTGTCTGCAATATCAACCTAGGCTTGCTTTTTTAAGATGGCATGTATATTGTCGGTTTTCTTATTTTCAATTAGGTATATGTCTATACGATTTCAAAATTTCTATAAGTAGGTTTTTCTCCTGAAAGACAATAAATTTGTATTATAACAATGTATAAAACGTACAAATGTACAAAAGGAAACTAAATAAGAGACCGAAATAAATGCTTAAAAAACACACAGAAACTATTATAAATGAATTTAGAGTGAAGGTGCAAGCCACAATCTTGTTTTCTTTATTCGCTGTTCATTGGCTCAAATAATATAATAATTTAATTCACTTCTATGAAAGTAAAAGTAACATCGGAGGGTATATTTGTGTAATTTTAAATGAGCATTTTAATTCATTCATATTTTATAAATACCTGTGTTGTAAAGTTCTTCTTTTTCTCACTTGACTTTATTATATTACTTGTTTAAATTAAAATCAATCTCAACTTGGGTTTATGATAAAAGTGTAATATTTAATAATTTAAATCGTAAATCAAATTAATAATTGAAGTTGAACTAGGAGTGCACGATATAAATCGATATTTCATAAAATATCGATACGTGTAAGCGATATATCGCTGCAGCTCGATATTGTCGAATCATCTTGTATCGATATGTACAATCGATATATTTCATCCGATATACTAAATATCGTAAGAAATTAAAAGCACATTCGATTTTTTTTTATAAAATGATTATAACTTTATTTATGTTGTTCACAATAACGAAACGCAAACACGAAATTTGCACTGGCACTGGTAGTAAAAAATTATAGTATCATTTACCTAGGGTGCGTTCCAAAACGTGCGATGACCGTTCCAAAAGTGCGTAAGAAGGAGACCGAGCTATATGTAAGAAAGAGAGAGAGAAATCAGTTTTGAAACGCTTTAGAAAGCAAGAAACTTGAGAGCAAAAAAGACTTTGGAACGGTCTTGCGATGTAAGTCAATACAGACATGATTCCCATCAAATATCAGTGTATTTTGTTAAGTCATTATGTGACACTCCATGTCAAAAACTAAATTCGCTTACCTTCGAGTTCATTCGTGTCGATATTGGAACGCTCAAGGGTGATTTCCGCATCAGTCCAAGCGAAAATCATACGTTTTAGAACGTAGCCTTAGTTTGTGGTCTGTGGCTTCATATTATGCTATATCTTTAATATCTTTATCTGGGGTCTGTCGTGATTACTCGCTTCGTTCTCACAGTGCAAAATAACCTTTACATAAAAGTTATATCTGGAAGTTTTCCAAAAAAAAAACTCCTGCTGCTGCCGTTACAAAAGATTCAGATTTGTCAAACCCTATCCCTAGTTCTTCAAAACAACATAATATTACGATACCGAAATCTATCGTTAACGAACGTCAACTGTTGCCTTCAATTTCAATGTCATCGCCAATGGATACTAGCGAGATAGGTAATAATTCTCCAACTGATCAAAAGATTGATTATGATAGAGGATTGCCTTTTAAACGCCAGAGATCGATTGAAAGTAATTTTGGAGAAATACACGCATATACCTCTAATGGTGACAAAACTAAAAGAATTAAAAATGCATGATCTGTAAAGACAATCATCCTTTTTCATTAGTTGAAAATGAAGGTTTTAAGAACCTTTTGAAAGTTACGGCACCCCACTACAAGATTCCTAGCAGATCCTCTATGACACGCTTCTTAGATGAAAAGTATCATGCCTTATCAACAGTTATGAAAAGCAAATTATACGGTGTACAAAATCTTACCTTAACAAGTGACATTTGGTCAGACCTACAAATGAGAAGTTACCTAGGTGTAACTGCTCATTTTGGCATCGGTAATGAACTTCATTCGGTAACTTTGGGTGTGTACCACTTAGATGAAAGACATTCGTCGGAATACATTGCACAAATGCTCGCTAAAACGTGTGAAGAGTGGGGATTCAATATTGATAAAGTCACAGCAGTAGTAACAGATAATGCTGCAAATATGGTGAAGGCTGTCGAAATTGCATTTGGGAAAAAAAACATATCCCATGCTTTGCGCATGCGTAGTTACATATTTTGAATATTCCAGAATTACAGCTAATAATAACAAAGGTAAAAAATGTAGTTACTTTTTTAAACTAAGTTGTGTGGCAAGTGACGAGTTACGTAAATCAGTTAAAGCTGACATCAAATTGATTCAGGATGTCCCTACTCGTTGGAATAGCACGTACTATATGATTGTACGTTTTCTTGATTTAAGAAATTCTGTAATCGAAATTTTGATTCGTCATAAAACAGCACCTCCGAAGTTAACTGGTATGGAGTTGACAATATTACCATCGCTTCTTAACATATTACGCCCTTTGGAACTAGCGACTAAGGAAATATCTGGCGATAAATATTGTTCTAGTGTCAAGGTCATTCCATTAGTGCACTGCATGATATCAAAACTGAAAAATCTAGTAATTGAAGAACCTTTAATCAAGGAGGTACATAAACGCACTCTTGCCGAAATTAACAAACGAATGGGCGCCATCGAACACATATCATTATTAGCCATTGCTACAGTATTGGACCCAAGATTTAAAAAACTTCATTTTGACCGTTGGCCTGCGCAAATGCCGTTAGTAAAATTAAAGATACTATTAAAAATACTCAGCAGGATGAATTATGTAATACTACTACGGAATCTGACTCGGACAATTCCGACAAAATTAGTCTGTCATCCGATTATAGTCTTTGGAGCGATCACCATAAACTAGACCAGCGGAATTGGAAAACAAATAAAACGGATGAAAATCTTTCAGATGAGTTATCACTTTATTTGAGGGCTCCAGTCAGTAGATTTACCGAAAACCCATTAGAAGTGTGGTTAGATTACAAAGTACAGTTAAATGTCACTATTGATGAACAATTACTGGGGTTCCGCGGTAGATGCCCGTTTCGAATGTATATACCTAATAAACCAAAAAAGTATAGTATAAAAATTCCAATGATGAAAGATAGTGGAACCAATTATATGATAAATGCGATGCCGTACACTGGAAAAACTACAAATACAAACGGTTTACCACAAGGCGAATATTACTTGAAAGAGCTATCACGGCCAATTCATGGTACTAACCGCAATATAAAGTGTGACAATTGGTTCACGTCTATTCCTGTCTCGGAATCATTACTTGCTGAACCATATAAATTGACGATTGTGGGCGCGGTACGATCAAACAAAAGGGAAATACCCGAAGCACTGAAAAACACCCGTTCTCGACCAGTGGGTACGTCTATTTTCTGTTTCGATGGACCTTTGACCCTACTATCATACAAGCCGAAGCTGCCGAGGATGGTGTATATGCTGTCCTCATGCGATGAAGGCGCTGTTATAAATCCTACAACTGGTAAACCTGAAATCATTATATTCTACAACCAGACAAAAGGCGGCGTCGACACATTTGACCAGATGTGTTCTTCGATGTTTTGTTCTAGAAAGAGTAACAGATGGCCAATGACAATGTTTTATGGCATATTGAATATAGCTTTTATCAACTCATATCTTATTTACACATACAAAGTTTTGGCAAAACAAGAAAAACCATTAAACAGAAGAGAATATATGAAAAGACTAAGTACTAAACTGTCAAAACCGTGGATGAGATCTAGATTGGCAATCCTTACTTTATCGAGGCGTTTGAGAGAAAATATTGAGAATATCCTGCCACGAATCACGAGGCTTCTCAAGAAACTGAAGAGGAACCTCCGGCCAAAGTTCGGCGTTACTGTAACTAATGTACTACTAACAAAAAAACGTATGTCTAAGATGACATGTACAAAATGTAAAAAGACAGTGTGTGGTGAACATAAAAAAGATGTTTGCAACAATTGTCTGTAACTATAATTTTTTTCAGTATTTCTTGTAACTTGAGACTGAATATATAGTACAACTCTATGTAAAAAGTATCGGGAATATGTCAATAAAAAGACTCGCGTAAAAGAGGTCGTTCTAATTTTTTTACTGCATGTTGGTAGCACTGTACTGATTAAGCGCGCAAAATTTGAGCGGGATCTGTCATTTAATTTGTTTTAAACTACACTTTTTGTTGGTGATAGTTTTGAGTCCTCGGTGATTTTTACAATGGAAAATATTGTTGAACAAAGAGTGTGCCTTAAATTTTGTGTTTCGAATGATATTTCTTGTGGTGAATCACTAAAAATGTTGCGAAATACCTACGGCGAATCGTGAGGTAAGTCTGAGCAAAGTCTAAGTACGCTTTATAAATTTCAGCCTTAGACTATGTGTGAGATAAAGTGTCTATCCAGGTAGTTGAACTATAACTATATTGTAATGATCTAAGAATATAGAATAATAACATCTCACATATGGCTGGCTGGTTCCAAACTAGGCAGAGCCTCTATGGTGGCAACCAGACTGCTGATAAACATACTTAAATATTATTTTAAACATACATATTATACATAAATTATTAATTAAAATCTTCTCACTCGTTAACACTCTCAGCAGAGTGGTCATGGTCATCGGTCTGGCCGGTAACTCACCTCACTATCTGATGCCACTCCTAGCGTATTGATTCATTTCTCCCACACTCTCTCATTCAAATAAAAGTACCTACATGGGATAGAATTCTTAGTCGAATCATGCTCTGAGGATTGTTGTTTTGCAATTTTAAATGAAAAAACATATCAGTTGCCTTTTTTCTTTGACAGTTGCCAAGATCAGCCCATCTTTGTCATACCTGTTGGCGAAGGACTGAAAGAGCAGCTGCTCGCTTTACTTCAGATCGGGAATCAGCAGTGTCAAGTCTCCCATCATTTAACATTGAATCTTCTCAAGTACAAGCTGAAGGACGAAATACAACTCCATCTCATGGCTTGCAGTTGCCTAACTATATCAGAGCTCCTAGCACACAGCGACAATGTTTTTTTTCTGGATGTAATGCGTCTGACCGGCTTTTAGTACTATCCTCACTGAGAGTAAGTTTACTTTGTGACTACAATTATTATGTGCCTGCAGATTGCAGAATATGTTCAATGCACTTGAGAAGCAATTCATGGGATTTACTTCTGGATTCAATTTATGATCCTATCAGGATATTCAGTGCAGAACAAATGGAAGAACTTATTTCTTTGTTAAAAGATAACATGTTAATGCATTTAGATTTTGACAATATCTTAAGTATGCCAGATCATATTGTTCACTATTACTTGGGCTTTTCAAAAGAACAATTCCAGCAAATCCTTTCGGAAGTCCCGAGGTTATTAAATAGCCATAGGGGCGCTTTTGCTCTGGCAACATATTTATTGAAATTGCGGACAGGAGATAGTAATGAACGAATTTCATCATTATTGCAAATACCAAGGAGTACACTAGAAGGTCTAATGAAGATGGCTAGAGAATTATTGTATCAAGATTTTGTTCCCAGAAATCTTGGCTTGAATCACATAACTAGAGCAGAAATTGCTCAAAGGAATCTGCTGATTCCCAATGCTTTGTATGGGGGCCCAGAGAGAACACCAATTATAATAGCTGATGGTACATACATATATATAGAAAAAAGTTCTAATTACTTGTATCAAAAACAAACATATTCATTGCATAAATACCGTAATCTGGTTAAGCCATTTTTATTTGTATGCAATGATGGTTATATCATTGACGTACTGGGCCCCTATCCTGCTACAACCACAGATGCAGACATTATGAAACAGGAGTTTGGAATTGAAAGTAGTTCTTGCCGTCAATATTTTGAACCTGGGGATGTATTTATTCTCGACAGAGGTTTTAGAGACTCATTACCGCTCCTAAGGAGTTGTGGCTATAATGTCCATATACCATTATCCCCAAAAGATGGTGAACCACAATTGACAACTAGAGAAGCAAATAAATCAAGAGCTGTTACTTTATGTCGATGGGTGGTGGAAGTGGTGAATGGAATATTTAAAACTAAGTTTAAAATATTTAGGCAAACCTTTTTCAACAGAGCTTCCAAGCATCTAATGATAGATTTCTCTGTGGCTGCTGCTCTTATTAATAAATATCACACCAGATTACGAGACAGAGACGATGCCACTGAAGTAATTGAAATTGTGAACAGGAATATGAACAGAAACAATGACCTTTCAGATTATGTTAGGGATCATAATCTCAATAGAGCTAGAGCAGATTTCCAAAATATTAATGTTGACAGGGAAAATATAAGGGACTTTCCAAGACTAACTAATAATGAGCTAATACTGATCGCCTGTGGGATATATGAGTTGAAACAAGCTCGTTCTTATTACGGAGAGCATATAAGGACCAACGGGTCATACCAAATAGAAGTCTCTAGAGACTCTAGGAATAGAATAATGGAAGAACTAATTTTTGGCTCGAATTGTTACCTAATTAGAGCAAGAATTGCAAGTCGACACATCAGTCGCAAAATATACTTCATATATATACAAGTTACCAATACGGAAACTGGTCGCGAGGCTATCAAACAATACTGCTGCAATTGCATTGTTGGCCGTCGTACAGTAGGATGCTGTGCCCATGTCATGACAGTGCTATGGTATTTGGGGTGGGCACGGCATCAAGGTATTATTTTTCCTCCTGCTCAATTTTTGGATGATGTTTTAGTAGTGTATGATGAATGAAGGTTTAACTATTTAAACTGAGTTTCATTTTCAACCATCTAAGATCATAAAAGAGCAAGAAATGTATACCCGTTTGGCCAGCATGGTATAGTAGGCTAAATTCTTCTTCCACCACTGGAGGAATATATATAATATATTCTTCCAATATTTTGAGGAGGCCCATGCAGTAGTTGGAGATTTATGGCCTGACATGGATGGATGGATTATAAATACAATATTAAGTAGATATATGTATACAGGAAGGGTTTCCAAGAACTTTATTGCACTTGTGTAAGCGCACATTAAAAAAAAAAAAAACCTTGACATTTATGAAACCCCAAGTTTTGTGTTAACTTTTCTTTTGTGAGTAAATTATTTATCTGCTAAAGAAATATTTGCATCCATTTTCACATATGGGCACTCAGGGCCTAAAGCACTATGGTGGCTTGGCATCCCCCTTTAGTTCACTACAAGAACGTTATGAAAAAAATATTTTGAATTGACCACCTACCAGTGACACAAAGTGGCAAAAAGTCGAACCAAAACTTTACAGTAACACCAGACAAAATAGAACTTTTGACATTTACCTATAAGAGTCGGGTAACTTTGGCCTATCACTAGCGTCATCTAGCAGCAAATAAAAACAAAACATTTTAAATAAATGATACCAATGCAAAAAAATAATTTAAATTTTGGGGAGAACCATTAAAGCTGAAGAAATAAATACATAAAATTGTTTTTATAGTCCATCAACGCCGTGCGCAACCGTCCTGCAGGGTGACAGACGGTGGCGGGGACGAGGTACTCAAGATGTCGGCGGGTAGCGGGTGGTGTAGCGGGAAAGGGAAACACGTGCATCTGCGCGTCAAATACGGCAGTCTCGTCCGCGCAGTCGAAGCGGCAACACGTGCCTGATGTTCCGTACTACTCAGAGTTCTACGCACACGAGATTAAGATCTCAGGATGAGTAAGGCTATCTCAAGACAACTTAAGGACATGTGACAAGTTGTACATAAAGTGTACCAATTTTTTGAAAGGCGATAAACATCATCAACAACAACAACATCGGCCGAATACGCAAACGACATTAATTTAGCAGAAACTGTTGCTGAAGCCACAGGTTTGTCTGAAACCAGCGTTAAAAAAATTATAAAAGAAGCTAGAATCATGGAAGCACCAGGCAGCACAGCGACTTTCAAATCACCACGGAAAAACCGTTTTCCTTAAAAAAGGATTGAAATCGACAATTTTACGGAAGGTGTCATACGAAGAAAAATTACACAATAGTATACTGTCAAAAAATGTTGAATGCGGCATTGAAACAAGACAATATACTTCATTGCTCACGTGAATACTTGAGACGGACAATACATGGGCTTGGTTTCAAATATTTAACATGCCAGTCAAAGAGGAAACTATTAATTGAACGTCACGACATAATGCGCCTGCGGTGGCATTACATCAGAGACATTAAAAAATACCGCCGAGAGGGTAAGTCAATAATTTTCCTAGATGAAACCTACGTGAATAAAATCACGTGACAGAAAAATGCTGGCAGTCTGATACAGAACGCGGGGCTATGCAAAACATCGGTAAAGGACCTCTTGCTTTGTACCTAATGCTTTATTGATGTTCAAATCGCATTCCAAGACCGGTGATTATCATGGAGACATGAATGCCACAAATTTTCGAAAGTGGATCGATGAAAAACTGTTAACAAACATTCCTCCGAATTCTGTTATTGTAATGGACAACGCCGCTTACCATAGCACTCAGATCGATAAAAAACCTATAATGAGTACCCTGAAAAGCGAAATGCAGCAGTGGTTAGAACGGCGAGGTGTTCAGGGGGCCTACCATGAACTTTCCAAATAACTGCCAAATTCAGAGCAGCTCAACTTTACAGATAACCTGACAGGTTTTGTAACTGTACCATGAACCTTTTCGGCTGAACTGCAATGTATCAATTTTTGACCTGAATAATTATCTCTGGTCAATTTGGAAACAACACACCTATACTAATGTCATAAACCAAACGTTCTAAAATCCTTCTCATAATCGTTATCGGTTTTCCGGTTTTATAAACCTAGAATCTAATTATTTAAATAATCATAGCTCAATATCAAGTACTTTGAAGTAACTTTGTTTCTTTCGTTAAAAACAAACATAAATAACATCTTTTGAGACATTTGGAGCTTTAGCCACTTAAATAAATAATGTTTAAAATAAATACCCGACTGAAAAAATCTACCAAGATGTCACCTATTTTTGAACGACATATGTATGTTGAATAAAGCATAAAAAATTTGAAATAAGTTTCCGAGGCGAATTTGAAATTCTTACTTGAATAAAAATAATTATTGAAAAGTATTCATCGTTAACAATGACGTCCAGAAGAGTTTCATATGACCAACTAGAAGTCATGTGGGAGTTCTTAAATACTCACAGAGATGTTGCTGTGGGGTTTAATAAAAGTGCTCAAGCTCGCGCAACATGTCGGCGAATGTGGACAGAAGTAACTGAATATTTGAACTCTATCGTGGGTGGTGCTATCAAAGATTGGAAAAGTTGGTCTAATGTGAGTTGGTGCTATATTTTCTATTGAATTTACGTGTTACTATAATAATATGTATATGTTAATTGTTCAATCAACTCTTCATTTCAGTATTGGGTAGATTACAAAGGCAGACTAAAAAGAAAGAATGCCAGTATTAGGGCATCTCACCTAAGCACTGGAGGTGGGACCTTCCACAGTACCTGAATTGACAGAGATAGAATTAAAATTTCTGTTAATTCTTGGTGAAGACCTCGGCTCGGGTCTCCCAGGAATTCAAGTATCAGTGGAGACAGAACTTACTCAAGTAAGTAATATGTTTTAAATAAAAATAGGTTTATAGTTCTCAATTATTTAATATTGTTCTTTTATTACTGTACATGTGTACTGTGATTCACAGGGTGAAAACCGGAAGTGATCACCGAATTGTTAGAGGCACACTGACTATAGACGTTCAGTTGGAACGCGCCCGTCTAATGAAGTCCACGCTCCGACTTTCGATTGCTCAGATCCAAAACCCCGAAAGCTTTCAACTCGAATTGCAAAATCGCTTCGAATGCCTAGATAGCTGCACATCAGTGGACGAAATCAATAGCAGGCTGGTAGAAAGTATCCATGAGGTTGGGTCTAAGTTCTTCAGACTCCACCGAAAGGATAGACCTCAGAAACTATCCGACCATACCCGGGACCTCATGGCCGGGCGACGTTCTATGACTCTCCAAACCTCCGATGACGCTAACTCCTATCGGCAGCTCAATAGACAGATATGGAATTCTCTGCGACACGATCTCCGCTCCTTTAATACTAACAGTATTAAGGAGACGATAGAGCGAAACAAAGGCTCTAAAGTGTTCGCAAGAGAGGCGTCTATTGGAAAAAGCCAGTTGACGAAGCTGAAGACAGAAGAGGGGAGTGTAACGTCGAGTAGGCAAGAGGTACTTACGGAGATAGAGAGGTTCTATCGACACTTGTATACCTCAACCGCAAAACTTGCTAGTAGCCGCAAAGCAGCTAAAGACCCTAGAGCAAGGCTAACCCGACATTATACCGAAGATATCCCGGACATCAGCCAGTACGAGATTGGGATGGCTCTGAAACAGCTTAAGAATAACAAGGCACACATCACATCAAGGCAATCACATCTGAGCTTCTGAGAGCGGGTGGCAAACCGGTCCTCAAGGTCCTCCAGAAGCTCTTCAATTCCGTCTTGCTCTTGTGGTACTTTTACTCAAGAAGGGCGATAATACCTTATTGAAGAACTACAGGCCCATCACACTGCTGAGCCATGTCTACAACCTGTTTTCAAGAGTCATCACGAATCGTCTCCAACGTCGGTTTGATGACTTCCAGCCTCCTGAACAAGCCGGTTTCCGAAAAGGCTTTAGTACCATAGACCACATACATACGCTGCGGCAGATTATACAGAAGACCGAGGAGTATAATCGGCCACTATGCTTGGCGTTTGTGGACTATGAGAAAGCCTTCGATTCGATCGAAACTTGGGCAGTCTTTCGGTCTCTCCGAGAGCCGGAGCCGTATGGACTATTGGTACATCGAGGTATTGAAGTGTTTGTATAATAACGCCAATATGTCAGTTCGAGTACAGGACCAATACACGAAGGCAATTCCATTACAGAGAGGGGTAAGACAGGGAGACGTTATTTCTCCGAAACTGTTTACCGCTGCTCTGGAAGATGCCTTCAAGCTCCTGGAATGGAAAGAACTTGGCATCAACATCAATGGCGAATACATCACTCACCTTCGATTTGCCGACGACATCGTAGTCATGGCAGAATCGCTGGAAGACCTGGGACAAATGCTCGCTGACCTTGACGGAGTTTCTCAACAGATCGAATCCGCAACGAGGAGATCCGCAGGAGAACAAAGGTGGTAGCCACATAGCCCAACGGATTAGCGCGCTCAAGTTACAGAACTGACGGCCGATGGGGGAGCATGGTTCTCCAATGGAGACCACGTACTGGAAAGCGCAGTGTGGGACGACCGCTTACCCGATGGACGGACGACCTGGTAAAGGTTGCCGGAAACCGTTGGATGCAGGCCGCAATCAACCGTCCCCGCTGGAAACTATTGGGAGAGGCCTATGTCCATCAGTGGACAAGCATAGGCTGAGGTATATATTACTGTACCTATAGGGCTGTTGCCCTCTAAATAATAGATCTAATTCTTATAATTTACAACACAATCTACTGATCACAATGCTAATATCATAGTTTACATTTACAGAAACTTAAACAGTAATTGTCAAAACTACTAACAAAGCTAAAAACATTGAAATAATAGCTAGTTTGTTTTGCATCAACATCAAATGAAGCTACTACGGATACTGCAGTTTTTGCATCGATGGCAACTATTGATTCAGATGCAAACACTGGCCCATCATCATCATCCATCCATCTATTCACCATTCAGGATCAACCACCCCCCACTCAGCCTGATACCCAACCCACTCAGCTTGATAACCAACCCGCTCAGCCTGATACCCAACCCGCTCAGCCTGATAGCCAACCCGCTCAGCCTGATACCCAACCCGCTCAGCCTGATACCCAACCTGTTCAGCCAATTGAACCGAGGAGGCCTACGCCGATGTCACAGGAAGCAGCGAGAAGGTTGCTTGCTGAGTCAAGCCGTATGCGAGCAGAGGCCACAGTCAATATGGCCAACTCATTGGACATTTCTCTCCGTTGTATAGCAGATACATTAGACAGGATACACCAGAGGTAATCAGCTATCAGTTACGAAGTTAATAAATACTGATGTTTTATATCTCAGTTCTCGGGTAGATTCGCTATTGGTTACACGCGTGCCGGCTCATCATCAGCGGTTCTCAAACTTTTGATATTTTCGTTATATATAATTTTCAATTATGGTTCAGTGCGGTAGGTGTGGTGACGCAGTACCCGATTGTAATGCTATCTTATGCAGTGGCTGTAAAAAACATTTTGATTATGCCTCTCTCCGCTCTCCGTGATACCCGAACGGGTATCACGGAGATCGGTTATCGTCGACTTGGTGCTGAGCGTCAGGCAACTTGGAGGTGCCCGGGTTGCAAATCACCTAAGCCCATCTCAAATGACCAGGTCATGCAGAAACAATTGCAAAATGTAAACAGTGTTTTAAGTCTGTGAAGTATTGTGGGAATACGTCGAATTTATTCAAGCATTCTAAAACTCATGGAATTTCTGTGGACAAAGGCAAATTACGGAAAAAAGAAAATAATAAGTCCAACGAAAGGTAGGATTCTAAACTTTTCTTTTTTTTTGCGATTGCTTTCCTAAGATGTTAAATAAAAAATCCTACCTACTCCTACCTATTTTATTTGTATAAAAATAGTTTTGCAGCAGTGGTACTGTGATTGTCTTGTCTATATATTAATAATATATGAATAATAATTGATGACCGGTGATGAGATATTTCCTTTGTATAAATACGATTTAAACAATTTAAGGTTATGTGTTTGTTTTTGTTAGTGTAATAGTGTTGTTAAATGGCGGTAGTGTTGGAGTTGGTATTATCGATACTTTGAAGATTATCGATCTATCAAGTGTTAATTTTTGTTATTATGTTTCAGTTCAAAAAATACAATAGTGTTGGCCAACTCAAGGCATTTAATGGAAGATGATCAACCCCAAGCATCAACATCGAAAATTTCAGAAGATCGTGATGATTGCTCTAGTGTAACCACATTAACAAGTATGGACTCGGAGACTGCAAGGGAGCTATGTCTGAGCAATTCAATAAAGAATGCGTTTGAAACGAATTTCATCTAATAAAAGGTAAATAAATAGATATTTAATTAAATATTAGCAAAATAATATTAATACATATAGTATTAGTGTTAAAGAAAAAAATATAAATATTTAATTTAATATTACATGTATTAAAATTGAGTTTTATTTTTAGCTGGTGGTACGAAGTATAACAGAATTGTTCAAGCATTGATATTTTTTATCTGTCAAGATATGCGTCCATTTAATATAGTTGAAGGTGAAGGCTTTTTACGACTTGTAAAAGAACTGGAGCCTACTTTTAAAGTTCCTGGCGCAAAGTATTTAAAGAAAATGACTACCGAAAAGTACGAAGCTTGTATAACTATTTGTAAGTCCAAATTATCCAAGATAGACAATTTCTGTTTAACGCTGGACATATGGACAGAGACAATGAATGAAGTAGGATTCATGGGCGTCACCATACATTTTGTAGAAAATGGTCAAATGTGTATGTATTATCTTGCAACTCGTGCATTAAGAGAGCGACATACAGCTGAATACATATCGGAAAACCTGCTGGATATTTTGAAAAAATGGAATATTCCACTTACCAAAATTCGTGCTGCTGTATCAGATAATGCCAGTTCAATGTTGGCTGCCATACGAATGTCTTTAGGCGAAAAAAAAACATTTACCGTGTTTTGCCCATACTATTAACCTTGTAGTTGAAGAGGCACTAAAGTTGCCCAGTGTTAAATCAGCTGTTATAAAAGTACGAGAAATTGTTAATTGGATAAAAAATAGTGTTGTGCAGTCGGATAAGCTACGAAAAATCCAAATGCGTAATAATGTTTCGGCAGGATCAGTTTTAAAACTTATTGCAGATGTAAGAACTAGGTGGAACTCAACTTTTTTTATGTTAGAGCGATTTCTAAAGTTAAGAATAGTAATATCAGAAATTGTAATTGAGAGTGTAGTGGCTCCGAATTTGCCAAGTGCAGTGGAAATGGAAACCTTGAATGAGCTTACAACTGTATTAAAGCCTTTTGAATATGTAACAAGAGAATCATCGGGCCAAAAGTATGTAACAATCTCCAAAATTATACCAATGCTTAATTGCTTAACTACAGAACTGAATAATATCACTCCAAACTCCGCTATCGTTAAAGAATGTAAGGATGTTTTATTGAGAGAGCTGAAAAGGAGGTATGGGATGATTGAATTAAACGATCATGCAGCCATTGCAACAATTCTAGACCCAAGGTTTAAAAATCTGCATTTCCAAGACCCCTCTGCATGCGGAAGAGCTATTCAAAAACTTAGAACCATGGTTGTCGGACAACTAAGTAGCCCAAGTGAGTCAGAAGATGATGTCTCATCTACTGCACCACCTGAATACGATTTTTGGAAACATCATAAAGAGTTAGCACATGGGCACAAGAAGAAAAAAAAATCTCATCAGGGAGATGAAGTTTCTCTTTATTTATCAAATCCAGTAGTTTCTCTTAAAAGCAACCCATTTGCAGAATGGGATGACATGAAGTTGGTGTTTCCTTGTCTGTACAAGTATGCACAGCAATATTTAATTCTTGTTGCAACATCAGTTCCTAGCGAGTGCCTTTTTTCCAAAGCCGGTGCAACAATGACACAAACAAGAAACAGATTGTCTTCTAAATACCTTGAACAGTTACTGTTTTTGGGCAATCTTAATGCTGAAAAGTTTTTTGTTTAAATTATAATAAGCCTAATAAACATTTATAATAAATAAATAGTTTTTTTCGTCTCAATTTTGTTTAAATTATTTTCCTTCAACGTTCATTGATAGCACCCTCAAAATAATAAAATAAAAGTTCCAAAAAGTATCGATATCAGTAAGTATCGATACTTGAGGAGTACTTATTTGTGTAGTATCGAAAAAAAGATTTGAGTATTATCGAAATGAGTAAGTATCGATACTTAGGTGGTATCGGAAAATCCCTAGAGGAACCACGGCAGACAAATACGCGACCATCGATTCGTGGACTTACGATCGCTTTGAGGAAGCGCGACAGCACAACCAACAAGTTACAACCCGGAACTTACAGCAATGGGCTTTATCGGCTGCGAGCCAATTTGAAAATTTTGATTTCAAAGCTTCCGATGCGTGGGTTCTCAAATTTAAACGGAAACATCAAATTCGCCAAAGAAAAATCACGAAGTTTGTAACGGAAAGAGAAACCGCATCGCGAGATGAAATCCTGGCTTCTGCAGAAGATTTTCGTATCCAGGCTCGTGATGTCATACCAAACTTTGGTCCCGATTTCGTCATTAATACAGACCAAACAGGTATTTAAAATTTGTTTTCATTTTTCATAATAAATGAATGTAGAATTTCGTATATAGTATTTTCAATTTATTCCTTTTCTATTTTTTTCAGGATGCCAATACCAGTCGACGTACGACAGAACTCTGGCAACTAAAGGATCAAAAGTGGTGCTGGTACAGCGGCAGAATATGAATAAAGTCACTCATTCCTATATTGCGCTGTACTCTGTCACCCGATCAGGAAAATTGTTGCCCCTGGTGTTCGTATGCCTACAAGAAACAACAGGTTCGTTTGGTCCCAGAGTTCAAAAATCGGTCGACGAGTACCTAAAAAAATACAAAAACGTCGTAATCACGTCATCGAAATCGGGAAAATTGACTACAAAGTTATACAAAGATTTATTAACCAACGTTTTGAAACCCTACGTAAAAAAAGAAAAGTTTTTATTAATTATCGATTCCTGGGGAGGCCAAACCGATACCATGATGTACAATGAGGTGTTTCGAGATGACAGGCGTCTGCCTACTTGCACGGTGCAAGTAATTCCACCAAAATGCACTCCATTAGTGCAACCTTGTGACGTGTATTTTTACCGCCAAGTAAAAAATTTCATAAAGCGTCTGCAGAACTGCGCCTATCTGATTGAACAAGGACGTGAAATTAATGATAGAGAAGATTGCATAAAAATTCATTCAATTGTTCATCATCAGTTGTCTTCTCCGATCTTCGAAAACATGATCAGATATGCGTGGTTTGCTTCGAAACTTTGCGATGAAAGAGAAATCTTCATGAACGTGAATGAAGTTTGTTTTCCGACCGATGTATTGAAAAAAAATTGCGAATGTAAGAATGCAGCGTTTGTGCGGTGTGCGAGATGCCGTGAAAATTACTGTTTCCCTTGTTTTTACGATGGTTACCACTCTGGCTCATGTAACATTACACCCGATGTATAAAACAAACAAATACTGACCGAACAATAAAGTATTTAATTCGTTACCCGACGTTTTTCATTTGCATCCTAGAAATGTTGTTAGTTATAAATATTAATACTTGAAAATGTATTTTTATGATCAGGAGATAATTAAAATATGACTTGCGTTTTTCATTTAAAAAAAAATGAAAAAAAAAAAAAAAAAAAAAAGTTCCGAGTGAGACTCGATCCAGCGACCCCGCGATTACTAGTCTCGGCCGCTACCGACTACACCACGAGCCCGGCTCGAAAACCGGTGTAATCTTTATGGTATAAGAGCGCGCTCGAAAACTTCAAACTCCATTTTCTCGAGAATTTCTGAATATGGCGTCGAGCTGCTTTGGGATCTTAGTATTGGGGGTCTGAACTTTACGTACCATGAGTATGAAAAATTACAAAAATCCGATTGCCGTAAGGTCCCCTTGTAAGTTCAAAGGGCGTAGCACTCTCAAGCAGTATATGCCAAAAAAAACGATAAAACGGGGCTTCAAAGTGTGGTCGCGCTGTGACAGTCTGACTGGATATTTGTATCAGTTTGAGATTTATACTGGAAAAAAGATGACGCCACTACAGAGGTTGGATTAGGAGCCAGTGTGGTAAGAGAACTATCCTATGTTGAGAGTTTGAGAACTATCTAAAACTCTGATTGATGAAAAGGTTGAGAATACTCACATCGCCTTTGATAATTTTTTTGCGTCCTTTGAGCTATTGCAGTACCTATTTGATAATAATATTTATGCAACTGCAACTGTACGCGCAGATCGTACAAACTTGCCCAAACTTATAAAAAACCAAAAAAAAAAAGAAAGATGAACCTAAACCGCCTCCTCTGGTACTGGCTAAAGGAGAGTACAAATGGCGAGTCAACCAGAACGTATGTATGGAAAGATACTAAATTGGTGTATGTATTGAGTACTGCTTATCATCCCCGTCAGAAAACAACATGTAGAAGAACGCAGAAGGATGGTTCGAAGTCTGACGTTTCGTGTCCCATAGGAATCCTGGAGTACACCAAAAGAATGGGAGGAGTTGATAGATTTGACCAGAAGAGAGGTACATATTCCATCTCAAGACGTAGTAAAAGATGGTGGATGCGAATATTTTACTTTTTAGTTGATTCTGCCATTACAAATGCCTATATAATGTACACCCAAAATGACAGAGTGCACAACCTTATGACCTCCTTGCATTTCCGCACCGTGCTCGCACGTAACCTGATAGTAAACTTCAGCTCCAGGAAAAGGACTGTGGCACAATCGCCTAACTTTGTAACTAAAAAACCAAAAGGGCCAACAAGTAGACAGAAGGCCATTCACGGAATACCTGATGAACTGAGGTTGAATGATGTGGGGTCTCACATGCCAATGGAGCTACTCAAATACAGAAGGTGCAGAGCATGCAGCAGCAAAAACCTTAACAAAACATCGAAAATACAGTGCACAAAATGCCAAGTTCCATTGTGCATTGTACCATGCTTTGCTCAGTTTCATACACCCTGAAGGGTGTACCCCGAAACCAAAAAAACCGCGGCAAAGTCGCTCCAAAATCAAGGTGATGCTGACAGCTTTTTGTTAAGGGTTTATAAAACCCTACGTATTTTTTTTAATAATAAAAAAAATCAAAAAATAATATACATTTGTGTTTAATTAACTTCTTATTAATCTAAAAAAAACCTCATTGAAATTACAATAAAAAGAATAATTATTTCAGTTGGTAAATAAATAGGTTTTTAATATTGTGCGCCTCTCAGGCGCATGTTTATCTTTTCAGTAATACAAAATAACGTTATCTTTCTAGGGTTAATGTCCATCCCTAATGTACGTATGTAGGTACTTCCCGGAATAACACGGATTATGAGCAGTTTATCATGTATAATTTTGTGTCGATGAAGCATAGATGTCACAATTTTATTGTTTGAATCTTAGAGTAAGGTACCGACATACTTTATATTACATTGTTGACACATACTCGTACTTATGTATTTCGTAAGAATAAACTGAATAATATAAGTAAAAATTAATTTTAAGTAAATGACATTCTGTACTTTGTAAATGTTTGTGATTGAAACAATATTTTGTGTTTTATTTGCCTTTAAAAACCCGACTGTTCACGCACCTAGCGCATGAATCGTGCCCCTCGCAGGGAGGCGCGCAGAGGGCGCGGTGTGACCAGCGGTAACGGCGCGCGGGCTGTCACGACCTCACTCAACGACCGAACAACGAGCGACGCGCGCGCATTAAGTTTAACCAACATTATACTGTTTTTCATATTATATTATATTGTTATACAGTCCACCTATGTTTTCTTTAACCAAAGAAGAAGCCTCCGACCGAATTCTAACTTTTCGGTTCACTCAACACCCCCCTATACTCAAACCACACTACAGCAATACTCACAGCCAACATTCACTCAACCCCAGAGTTTTTATCAGCAGCATTCAGTGTCACACACAACACCGTTCTTCAATCAACCCTCGTCTGTTAATGCAGTACATCTACCCAAAGTAATAACGATTTTAGAGAATCGACAATACAGGCCCGCTAATTGAATTGCACAGAGTACTAGGCCACAATCTGCACAAAGCTACTTTACCAGTTTTAACCCAAATATCTGCTCATCACCATCCATTACCGACCCATCAAGCTCAATAATAGTTCAAAACCCCTTGATTAATATTTGCCCATCTACATCGAATACCGACCTATCAAGCTCAACAACGGTTCAAAGCCCCTTGGCCGATATAAGTTCGCCGGAAGAATTTTTGTATTAATTTCGTTTTAATAAATATAATTGTAATTTTTTTATTATTGTTTTACTTACTTCAGTGTAACAACCCGTATTTGTACAGGTGGTATCGCCAAACGCATGTTGGTATCTTGAAGTGTTATTTGAGGGCCCACCATTTTCAACAATACGTCAAATGTTGCTATAGACATTCGAAAATAATTTAAAAAAATTGCAGGGTATTGCCTCAAATCTTCGTACAGTATCACAAACTGCCCTTTTATGTATCTCGGTTCATTCAGAGGATGTACTCAGAATGCCTTCTGTTTCCTTTTTCGTCTTCTAGCGACAAAAACCGATATTGCTAGTAATTTAGCGCTAACCATGCTCACGTCTTACTAAAGTGCGAGACGAGACAAGAGGTTCGTATGAATAATCAAATTAAGAACGTTATAAAAGCGCCAACGCTGGGTTTTAACGCAACGCTTTTTTAGCTCCCATGCGAATGAGGCCTTAGATGTGTTTAAAAACATTTTTTTCGAATACTCATAGCCTGTTCATGATGCTGACAAGAAGCTCGTGTCAAATTAACTTGCAATTTCAATAACGTTTCTATAGATTTGCTTCCTGCGGTTGTTGACATTACTTTTATGGGTCTTATGTCACTATTACATAAATTATAGATAGTTAACTCTTAACAAGTATTAATTTTTGGTCATTCCAGGTAGTATAAGTGATGAATTAAAACCTCATCTTCAAGTTATCCTACAGAAGCTAAAGGCTCTTGAAGAACTTACCATTAATAGTGAGAACCAGTATATAAAAAAGATCGCTTCAATGACTGGTAAGAATCTGTTACTTACGTATTTATTTTCTACAATTTTCGTTAGATTATGTAAGTAGGTACAACGTACATCCAATACATATTGCATTCAATACAAGTTCATATTAAATTTTATAAATAATTTATATTTATTTATACAGGAGTCAGCGAACGAACTTTAAGAGTGATTAAAATGAAGGCCAAAATAATCAAGGAATCTGGCGGACTCCTGGCAAACAGCGTGCAGCACGGGCAACGAAAGTTAATATTGTCAATTTTGACCAATGCGCCATACGAAATACAATAAATCAGTATTATTTGACCCGAAAGGAAGTGCCTACCCTGCATAAATTACTACTTGAATTGAGGCAATCAATTGATTTTACTGGCTGCAGGGAAACCTTACGCAAAATATTATTAAACATGGGTTTTGAATTTTTAAAAAATCCTGAAGAACGGACAGTCCTTTTGGAGTCTGTAGAAACGAGAAAAGCTATTGTGTATCTTGATGAAACCTATGTGCACTTGAATTATAAACCCAAAAAAAGTTGGCAAGGACCATCTACCTCCAAAATGGTGGAGAACATCTCAAAAGGCAAACGGTTTATTATAGTTCATGCTGGGACAGAAAATGGGTTTGTAAATAATGCGTTACTTGTGTTTAGTACAAAATCGAAGCATGCAGATTACCATGATGACACGAATGCTGAAAATTTCACAAAATGGGTGTCTGAAAAATTACTGCCCAATCTTGAGTCACCGAGTATTATTGTTTGCGACAATGCTAGCTACCATAGTACAGGGTGGCGCAATAGAACGTGCATATTGCATCATCTTTTTTCGCGGGGTAGAAAGTGCGCGGGCGGGGGGAGCCTGCATCGTTGGGTAGGCGGGCTCATGGAGTTTTAGTCACTATGAGTCACTTCGACGGGAAGCGTCGCGCATTTTACGAGAACTCTCGTTCATACATCGTTACTAGGCGTTTATATTGTTCTGAATATGGACTACGGCAAATTAGTAAAGCTCCGAGTGCTAATTTAATTAAAATATGGGTACCGCGTTTTGAAGAGACTGGTTCAACGTTTAAACCACAAGCAAAAGGTTGTCCAAGAACATCTAGGACCGACGATAATATTGAGAGAGTTATGCAGTCTGTACGAGGAGATCCAAAAATGTCTACTCGTAAGAGATCGTCTGTCTTACACTTATCGCGACGAAGTTTGCAACGAATTTTAAACTTGGATCTTAAACTGCATCCTTACAAGCTGCAGTTAACACAAGAATTGAAAGAGTCTGACTTCGGAGCAAGGCTCGCATTTGCTAATGAAATGCTTAATCGATTTTCCAATTTTGACAATATCCTTTTCTCAGATGAGGCCCACTTCCATATCAATGGGTTCGTAAACCGTCAAAATTGTCGTTACTGGAACAGTGAGAATCCCAAACTCAAGCACCAGAAACCACTGCATAGTCCTAAAGTGACAGTATGGGCAGCAATCTCTGGTAGAGGAATAATTGGACCGTTTTTCTTTGAAAATGCGCGGGGGCAAAACGTCACTGTTAATACCGAACGCTATGTTGCGATGTTGGAAGGTTTTTTGGCTCCAGAGCTTGAAAATTCAAGAATAGTGAATTCTAGGACTTGGTTTCAACAAGACGGAGCTACCTGTCACACATCAAATGACTCCATGGCGGTTGTGAAACAGATGTTCCCTGGCAGACTGATTTCGAAAAGAGGTGATATCCCATGGCCCCCACGTAGTCCAGACGTGACGCCTCCTGACTTTTTTTTGTGGGGATACCTCAAGAACAAAGTCTACAGTAATAATCTGAAAAACAACGATCAGCTCAAGGAGAATATCCGTGGTGAAATGGCAGCAATTACACCAGCATTACTGAAGAAAGTTTTCAATAACTTCCGTTTGCGATTAGAGGAGTGTCGTCGTAGAGAGGGTCATCATTTAGACGATGTTATTTTTAAAAAATAAACTTCAGTTATTTCTTAATAATACCTCAGTTTTATTTTAACTATACCTTTTGTATTTATTTTCTAATCAATATTTTAAATATGCACGTTCTATTGCGCCACCCTGTATATAAATAAATAGGCCACCAAATACCAATTCAAGAAAAAAAGATATTAGAGACTAATACATAACCAATACAAAACCAATACCAAATGTTAAAGCAAAGACTGATTACAATTAAAAGAATTGCAAGACTTTTAAGTTAAATGGTTTTATAATAAAAATTATAGAAAATCATAATTTTTAGAATGTTCATGTTCGCAAAATATTCGCATAAGTTTAGCGAATGCGAATACAAATTTTCAAAAATATGCGAATATTCCCGAATGCGAATGCGAATATTCGTTCGTTAAGAACATCAGTAGTAGTACCTACTAATTTTTTTTTTCATAACAATGACTGGAAAAATGAAATCTTTCGTTTGGGAGGTGTTTGAAAAACCCGTAAACGGTAAAGTTAAGTGCAAAATATGTTCTTTATCTTATAAATATTCGGGAAACACCAGCACAATGATGACGCACATTAAAAATAAACATCCACAAGAACGTTTAAATGTAACAGCAGAACATAGTGTCTCTGAAGAGTTGGTACAAGTTCAGCAGAGCAGTCAAACTCGAAATGAGACTGGATTGAATATATCACGCTTCCCGAGCTCAAACAAGCACTGGTGTAGGAATGGGAAGGTATTCCTCAGCACCGGCTCCGAAATTTGGTGTACAGCATACCTAATCGCCTGGAAGCTGTCAGAAGAGCTCGTGGAGGCAATACAAAGTATTAAATGAAGAAAGTGATGAAAAACAGCAAAAAAACAATCATAAAAAATTTAATCTTAAGAAAAATATGACTACTTTAGTTTTTTTTTTTTAATTTAGAGATAAGTTAAGAGTTAGAGAGTTTAGATTTAAGCTTTATTTTATTTTTTATCTGTATAATTAAATTCCTAATTGAACAGTCTTCGTTTCATTAGGATGGCATACGTAGTTCGGGAAATATTCGGGTTTATGTGACTGACCCGTTATTTTTGGAACCGAGTTTATTACGTACATATTAAAAAACAAACTTAAATTATCGAGCCGTTTTGTGCGTCGTCCGGTTAGTACGACGAAGTGTCGCCGGTCCCTTGAAGGTCGTTATATCTGGATTCTACTGTATATATATATGTATATATATATATACAGTCAAACCTGGATAAGTGAGAAAACTCTATAAGTGAGAGTAATAGCCAGGACCCATCATTTTAAGCTCCCAAAACCTCTATTAGCGAGAAACAGAAACCTCTGTAAGAGAGAGTCGTTTTTCCCACATTTCCCTCCGTGAGTGAGACTACTACTTATCTATACCTCTATAAGCGACAGTCGAGCTTTATTTACAAATTTAACATGTGCTATTTTATGACTCATTCTTAACTTTCGTGGAACTTCCTACCATTGTTTTTGTATTCTCGTCAATATTGTACCTATTCTATTTCGTGGAACTAAATAATGTTGTTATAATATCGCATTCTTTTCAAATGGACACGTGTGCCTGTGTACCGTCCTGTTTGTCGGACTTACTTAGTTTATAGTTATCAATTGCGAAGGAAAGTTCTGTTCTGCATCATGTCAAAACGGAAAATTAAAGTACTGTCATTAAGTGATAAACTTAAAATAGTGAATGCGTTTGAATCCGGAAAATCGCGAAATGAAATTCAGAGGGAGTTTAATTTACCAGAATCCACCTATTATAAAATTATAAAATCAAAAGACTCTATAAAGTCTGAGTGCTCTGATGGACATGGAAATATTAAGAGGACTAGAGTTTCTGAATTTCCCAATATCGAAAAGTGCCTTTTGGAATGGATAAAACAAACCCTCGATAAGAATATTCCCATAGATGGACCTTTGTTGAAAGAAAAATCAAAAGAGTTTGCCACAAAACTGGGAATCCAGAACTTTTCTGCTAGCAACGGCTGGTTAGAGGGTTTTAAAAGGCGTCATGACATAGCTTTCAAAAAAGCAGCTGGAGAAAGTAAATCTGTGGACCAGGGTGTGTGCAACCACTGGACTGAAGATCTGCCAAATCTTTTAGAAGGGTATAAATCAGACGATATTTACAACGCGGATGAAACTGCTTTGTTTTTTAAGTGCCTTCCGGATAAAACATTTACGTTTAAAGGCGAAAAATGCCATGGAGGAAAACAAAGCAAGGAACGCCTTACACTTCTCCAGTGTGTAAACATGAGTGGTACGGACAAACTCCCACTTCTCATCATCGGGAAATCAAAGCGACCTAGATGTTTTAAAGGTGTCAAGACTCTACCCGTTGATTATGCCAATAATACAAAGGCTTGGATGACCAAGATGTTATTTAAAGATTGGTTGAAAAAAGTTGACAAACAAATGAAGATAAACCGAAAAAACTTGTTTTTACCTGCTAACACCACTAGTAAACTTCAACCATTTGATCAAGGCATCATTCACACTTTTAAACGCTTTTATCGCAGAGAAGTCGTTAAACATATTCTTACGAGTCTGGAAGAAAACAATAGCCCTGACATTAACGTACTTCTAGCTATGAAATTTGTTAGAAAAGCATCGTACTTAGTCAGTGACGTTACTGTCAAAAACTGCTTCAAGAAAGCTGGGTTTCGGAAAAGTACAGATGAGCAAGACCTGCCAGAGGAAAATGATGTTGAAATTGGACCTAGCAACGAGGAATGGACTAAGCTTGTGTCTCACGAATCCAATATGTTAATGCCGAGCTTCGAAGATTTCGTTCAAATTGACGACGACGTAACTACCGCTGGAGAACAAACCGACGACGATATCATTAAGAATTGTGTGAACACCTGTATTGCTGGAAATGACAGTGAAGACGAGGCACAGATTCCGGAAACAGAAATAAAGATCATTCCAATGAAGCTAGCTTTAAATGCGTTGGAGACGGTGGAAAAATACATTCAAAATTCAAAAACAGAAACCCAAACTAAATTGACGGATTTTTTTGAGTGCAAATAAGTTCTAAATAAAATAAATTTACATAGTGCATGAATTTTTGTTTTGTTTTCGTAAGCATTTAAAAATATATACATATATATTTACTACATTCGTACTTGCTGTGACTTGTTATTGCTGCGTAACTCTATAAGAGAGAAACGCTACCCATGTACCTGCATTAGCGAGAAACTCGGGTTAGTGAGAAACCTCTATAAGCGAGAATGAGATTGTGCTCCCTTGAACTCTCGCTTATCCAGGTTTGACTGTATATATATATAAATTAGAGATGGGCCGAATGTGATTTGAACCGAATCCGAACTTCGGTTCATTTTCATGCGCTTTCTCGAGAGCGACGCGTCGTGACTTGTTTACGCACACCGCGTACCCCGAGCCGGCCGGTCAGTATCAAACAGCGTCTATTGTCTTGCGTTTTACTAGAGTTTTTGCATTGCACACATCAATCTTTTGTATGTGTTTGTTGCTAAAATATACCACCTCAAAAAATAAGAAATGTCAAAAATTAAAACAATGGCCACACTGATAAGACATGCCGCTAGCCACTAGCCGGCCGTCATTCTTGCTTTGTAGACGCCATTACGCCCATTACTGTTTCTTTCTGTGTATTGTGTCAAGTCAAAGAAATAATTATCGCTGTTTATGTTATTATAGTTACTTTCGTAGATTAACTCTTTCGTGTGTTACAGAAGTTAAATAACTTCTAGATTATAAACATCCTTTCACAAGAAGTATAATTAGACCGCAAGACGTTTTCTCTCATTCGGATTTAAATATTCTTTAGAGAGTTAGATTCCAATTTTGTTTGTGTTAATTGTGAACAATGTCCGTGAACAATTATAGAAAATGCGCAAAGTGTGGTAAAACCAATAGTGTGGCAATATAATTATTTGAAAAGGGATGCCTGGAAAAATCAAATAAAACAAAAATAATGGCTGCTTTAGATTGTGTTGATTTTTCTTGTTTAAATAAATGTATGAATCATTTAGAATCAAATATAAATCATTTAAAAACCAGCACATTTTACATATGTACTAAAAGATTTGTTATATTAAAAAACAGAGAATTGGAAGAAGACGAGAAAAGAAAAGCCATGGAAAGGAAAATGAGGCTTTTAAGAAATAAATGATTTAACTAATACTGACTGGTTGTTTTAATTGTGTTACAGAATATAATAAAACTTTATTGAAAAGAACTTTTATCAATTCCGGACTTTCATTAATTATTGTCAACTTTAGAATTTAGCACAATATAATCTAAATCTATATTATAATTTTAGCATGAAGAAGATTTATGATGTTATAAAGTAATACAATCATAACACTATTGTATTGCTTCATACAATTAACAACCATCTTCATGCAGTTTGCAGTACAACCAAAGTACCTACAACATTCTACTGTAATTTTGAATTTTCCCTCACAAATTTGTTTCTTGCTATTCCGCAATGGCGCTAGTGTGTGTAGGTGTGTGTTTTTTTACTATAGAGTTAGAATTCTTCTCTCGTAAGAGAGTAGATATATTCTTTGGTAACAAATACGTCACGACATCGGCACGTGTCGCGTGCGATTGTAATCAACAAAAATAATTGTTTTAAGTGGATTGACGAGGTTTTATTTAAGTGATAAGTTTTGTTACTGGCTTATTCCAAAAATGAGTGCAAGGAAAAAATCAAGTGTTTGGACATTTTATACAGAAACTGATCAAGCAAATAAAGTGAAATGTATCCTATGTGATGCGCTGATATCTCATGGTGGTAGTGGACGTTCAGCGTCTACTTTTGCACTGACCAACCACCTTCGTGTGAAGCATGATCGAGAATACACACAATTACAACATCTCATTCATTCGCCAAATCCAATCCTTCCTTCAGTAAGACCTACATCGTCGAATACTACTGAAGAATTGCCCGCAGCGGAGTCATCATTACGTCAAGCGACCATTGAGGGCACATTTGAATGTAAGTGGAAAATAGATGACCCAAGGGCTAAACAAATTCACAAAGCCATAGCAGAAATGATATGTGTGGATAATCAACCTATATCTATTGTAGAAGATGCCGGATTTAATCGGTTGCTAGCCATATTAAAACCAAAATACCAGATGCCCAGTCCAAAATTCATTACTGAAACAGTGATAGTTGAAATGTATAAACAATTAAAAAAGAAGATTTTCAACCAACTATCCGAAGCTAAAGCGATTTCAGTTACAAGCGACATGTGGACGTGCATCAATAATATGCTGGGTTTTTTAAGTTTTACTGTTCACTGGCTTGACAACAATTTTGTACTGCAACATGGGATGCTGAAAATGAAATCGTTTTCAGAGCAGCATACAGCGCATAATATCCAGTGTGCTCTAGAAGAAATGGCCGAGTCATGGAACATCTCAGACAAAATACATGTTATCGTCACTGATAACGGCCGCAACATTGTGAAAGCCGTAAATGACAGTCGTTTTGAAGGAAAAACGTGCTTCATTCATACTTTGCAACGAGCAATTCACGGTGCTTTAGACGCGCAGGAAAGTGTTAATGAAGCAATAGCGGCAGGGCGTCGTATAGTGACTCATTTCAATCACTCACAACCGGCTCAAGAAAATTTGCAGCTGATACAGACTGAGCTCAATGTACCCAAGCACAAACTTATTAAAGACGTCAGCACCCGCTGGAATAGCACTTTTTATATGGTTGAAAGGTTACTGGAGCCAAAGAGAGCGATTTCGTTGTACATATCTGACAACAGTAACACAATAAATTTTCAAAATTTGACAGAGAGACAATGGGATCTTCTGAAAGAATGTCTTGCTTTACTTCAACCTTTTGAAGAAATCACAAAAAAATGAGCTCTTCCTACTCCTGTATATCAGAAGACATTCCTAACTTGACGATTCTTTCAAAGTATTAGATCAAAGAAGAAGTTAAAGTGGCTTTTTCTAATATAAACACAATGATAATTAATATTATTTAACGGGAACGGTTAATATTATTTAACGGGGACGGTGGTCACAGGCTGACTGGCTCATCGGCGCACGCCCTCCGTCGTCGAATCCATGAAGAGCCTTCTACTTCACGGATTCGACGACGAAGGGCGTGCGCCGATGAGCCAGTCAGCCTGTGACCACGGCCGGTGCAACCTGGTCGAAACGTTAGGCAAACCAGAGGTATGTAATACCCTAAATAAGAGATCGCGTTAATTCCCGTTAAATATATTAATTATCATGGAACGCGAAAGTTTAAAAGTTAGTATAAACACAATGTTCGTTCGTCGTTCGTCACTAAAAGAAGGACTGGATAGACGGTGTCAGGGGATTGAAGATGACAAGTACAATAGTGTAGCAACAATGCTAGATCCACGCTACAAAATGAATTTTTTTACACCAGATAATGTACAAATGATCAGAAGAACTTGCCTGGCGGAATTTGTAAGAAGGAGCGAGGATATTGGGTCAAGCAGTGATGAAAGAGTTGTTCAGGTGGCACAGAGATCCACGTCATCATCCAATTGTGAAAACACACACAGAACGTTCTGGAGCTGCTACGAGGAACTAGCAGCAGTAAAGTTACCGATAGATGTAGAAGAAACCAAAAGTCCGATTGCGTCAGAGCTAGACAGATATCTCAGTGAAGTTCTGCTACTCAAAGACCTATGTCCATATGGCTGGTGGGCTAAGAATAAAGACAAGTTCCCTAATATGAGTTGTTTGGCTCGAATATACTTATCGTGTCCCGGAAGCTCTGTATATTCTGAGCGACTTTTTTCGGAGGCAGGAAACATATACAAAAAAAACGTAAAAAACTTCTGCCAGATAAGGCCGAGTCTTTGGTGTTTTTGCACCATAACCTGCCTCTAGTAAACTTTAAATATAAATAGGTAGATAAGAAAAGTTGGTTTAATATGATTGTTGAAAAAAATACCCTTTAATTGTAATAAAAAATACTTGAGGTTAATGAATGTTGAATCAAAAACGTTATTTTTTTATTTAATTTACGGACTCCTATCCAGATGTTTACTAGGAGAATACAAAGTTTGTTTCATTTTTGTAATAGCATGTCTAATTATTAATTAGGCAGGGATTTCTAAGATTAATAACTAATTAACTAAGATTAAGGTTAAGAACTAAGATTAAGAGTAATAATAAGATAAGAACTGATTTAATATAAGGTTTACATTTACAATGTTCCTAAATAAATAAATAAATAATTGACCATGAGTGAGTAAAAATAATATATTTTATTTTACAGTATCTAATGTTGTTATTGTTATATAAGGTGCTTCTAAAATATATGCCACGGTTGTTTGTACGGAGACTTGGCCAATCAGCTGACCGATTTCCATACAAAGTGCAATTTTTTATTGAGAATTGACTATGGGTTCCTTGGGGAAAGTGGTTCTGTATCATGAGTAGAACCACCAGTTGCAGCCATGGCATATTGTAATTTAGAAGCACCTTATTTATATTTATATATTATATAAAAGTGCAAATTACATTATGTTTCATTGGGTTATCATTATATGAGTAAGGTAGTAAGGTAATAGTAATAGGTGCAATTGATTGCACCCATATTCGTATTAAAAAAATAAGAACTGATGAGGGTCAGACATACATTAACAGAAAAGGTTTTCCATCAATCAATGTGCAGGTAACTTTGATTTTTTTATTTATAATGGATACAAACAAAGATTATTTTTATATTTATTTGTTGGTAATGTAATGCACAGTTAACAGTCTAATGAAATAAATTGTAAAATAGAGTAAATTAATAAAAATTCTCCTTTCGGATGGTTTGCAATGCTGATTTAAAAATCATGAATATTGTAGCTCGGTGGCGTGGCAGTGTCCATGATTCTAGAATCTTTAGGGAGTGTCGCTTGAAGCAAAGATTTGAATCTGGAGTATTTTCTGGCATCCTCTTAGGAGACGGTGGATATCCGTGTACACCATACTTGTTTACCCCACTGCTGAACCCAAGAACAGAAGCAGAACAAAGGTATAACAGAAGCCATATCCGTACACGGAACACTGTGGATAGATGCTTTGGTCTGTGGAAGCAACGTTTCCGCTGCCTACTAAGAGGCTTATATGGGGACATTGGAACAGCTAGGAAGACAATTGTAGCATGTGCAGTTCTTCACAACATAGCGATAGACATGCAGGAAGATTTATTTCCTGATGATGTCAGCAATGAGCAATCCTCTAGGGATTCAATACCAGTGCAGCCAGTTCAAAATTCACTACGAGGGCCCGAATCAATAGTGTTTAGAATTTATAAACAAAGTAGACGTGAACCGGAAAGTGTAACAGTCACATAACTCTTGTACATACATATATATAAATACACATATAAATAAACACAAATAAAGTTAAACACTTAAACAAATTTAAATTTAAATATATCTAAAAGTGCAGTTGTTGTTATTTTATTGTGAATACAACTGCATACAGCAAATTTGGGTAAAGAGTAATGGAAAATCATAATATGAAACTCGTTAGTTTTAACTGTAAGTCTGTGAAAAGGTCGATGCCCTATGTGAGGCAACTATGTGATACCTATGATATCATCGCCTTACAAGAACTATGGTTGCTGCCTGACGACCTGGCAATTTTGGGTAGTATACACGAAGACTTTGATTATCATGCTGTGTCTCCGATTGATACTTCATCTGGAACGCTGAAAGGAAGACCATACGGTGGCGTGGCCCTGCTATGGAGAAAATCAATATTTAACAATGTTGTGCGTATCCCGTCGTCATCGAAGCGCGTCGTAGCAATTAAAATATCTCATATGGACCGATGTATGATTGTGCTGTCAGTGTACATGCCTACAGAATGCATAGACAATCTTCCAGAGTTTACCGAGTGTCTAGGTGTGATGAGTTCAATAATAGAAGATTGTGGCTCCGAGTACGCCGTGGCCTTGGGTGATTTTAACGCCGATACGGGAAGCATGTTCGGTAACGAACTATCCGCATACTGTGAAGATCAGGACTGGGTGTGTGCTGATGTAAGGATGCTTGGTGAGTCCTCTAACACCTTTACATTTCTGAGTGAAGCACACGGTACTTCTAGCTGGCTCGACCACTGTGTTGTGACTTCGGCGGCCCTCAATATTGTAAAAAATATAAATGTTATTACAGATGTGTCTTGGTCTGATCATTTTCCACTGGTGGTGGAATGTAATATGTCTATAATAATTCCAAAAAGATGTCTAACTGAAAACAATAATGTAAGAAATCAGGTTATTTGGGGTAATAGGAATAATGAACAAATCAAGCTATATACAGATTTATGTAATGAATATTTAAGTAAGATAAATGTGTCCAAGTAGGTATAGTACGCATTGTGGTGGCGTGCCGTGTAGCGACCAAGTACATAACTTCTCAATAGATCAAATGTATGAAGAAATTATTAACTGCCTAACTAGGGCGGCGAGAGTATCGTATCGCGGCCAGAACAGAAATAACAATAAAAAGACGTGGGTCACGGGTTGGAACTACCACGTTAAAGGATTACATACTCAAGCAAGACATGCTTTTCAACTATGGTTGCTAAACGGTAGGCCGTCGCAGGGGGTGCTGTACGATAATATGTGTACAGCTAGAAGGTTATTTAAGAATAAAATAAGATGGTGTCAAAATAATGCTAATCAAATAAAAATGGATATAATTGCTGAGCGAAGGTCAAATCATGACTTCAAGAGCTTTTGGAAATCGACAAACAGTTTATCTTTTAAACCGGCAATGCCCGTGACAGTCAACAATAGTCACAATATTTCTGAAATAGCAGAGATGTTCGCACAGCAATTCCAAACAGCTGGGGGGGGGGCGCTGGGGCGCCGCCGCCACCGACACCGTTACCGTCGTCGCCTCAGTCGCAGTGTGACTCGGCGAGTAGAAGCCGACGAATCGGCGAGTCATTATCTAACACCAGTGTTTGTATAACTCCATGTAGCGTATTTAAGTGCGTAAAAAATATGAAGAAAGGGAAATCGCCTGGACACGACAGTCTGAGCGTGGAACATATCCTATATGGTGGTCATTTGTTGTTTGAACTAATGTCTAAATTTTACAATCTATGTCTGTCCCACTGTTACTTACCAAAAACTTTTATGAAGACAGTGGTTGTGCCCGTGCCAAAAAATGGGTCGGGGGATAAGTCTGACATAAAGAATTACCGTCCTATCTCTCTGGCGACCATTATGTCAAAAATATTTGAGAGGCTATTACATCCCGAATTATTAAGTCACATAAATATAAATAGTGCACAGTTTGGGTTCCGCGGGGGACACTCAACGGAAATGGCTATTTTCGCTTTAAAAAACACGGTAAAATACTATAACAGTAAAAATACGAGTGTGTACGCTTGCTTCCTTGATCTCAGCCGTGCATTCGAGACTATAAATTATAATATCTTATGGGCAAAGATGGAGGAGGTTGGCGTGCCTTGTGACTTGCTGGGACTGTTCAAGTACTGGTATGGTGCCCAGAGTAACGTGGTAAGATGGGCCAATAAAGGTTTTTCTAAAGAGTATACCCTTAAGTGTGGCGTAAGACAGGGTGGGCTGACATCACCAACTCTGTTCAACCTGTACGTCAACGGTCTGATCGATGAGCTCGGCCGGTCTGGAGTCGGCTGTCACATGACAAATGAACCTGTCAATAACTTGAGCTACGCCGACGACATGGTTCTGCTGAGCCCGTCCGTTCAGGGTCTGCGTACATTATTAAACATTTGTGAAAAATACTCTGCAAGTCATGGACTGACCTATAATGCGGGCAAAACGGAGGTTATGATTTTTAGACACGACAGAACTAACAGCTTTAACCCAGTAATTACTATTGGCGGGACACCACTTAAAACCGTAACCTCTTTCAAATATCTAGGGCACGTAATAAGGGATAACATTAGGGACGATGATGACATGGAGAGGCAAAGGAGGTCTATTGCCGCTAAGAGTAATATGTTAGCACGCCGTTTCGCTAGGTGCAGTAGGGAGGTTAAAGTCACCCTGTTCGCGGCGTACTGTCAGTCCTTTTACACCTGTAGCTTATGGAGGAATTACACCCAGAGAACGTACAACGCATTACGAGTACAATATAATAACGCTTTTAGAGCCATGCTTAACCTGCCGTGGCGGTGTAGTGCATCTGGCATGTTCGCCGGGAACAGGGTAGACGACTTCTTTGCAGTGCTACGAAAGAGGGCTGCTTCATTTATGAATAGAATCAGAAGTACTGCCAACTCAGTTGTCCAGGCGGTTTATCATAGTTGTCGACACAGAATATGCGATTTGTAAAGGTAAAATGACATATTTTATGGTACTTGTTGCTAATTTTGATTTATTTTATATTGTAATGAATCTGGTGATAATAATTTTATTTTATTTTTTGTTCTAATTTTAGTATTCCGACTTTATAATTGTGTATTTTTTATGATTTTTACGATTTTTATGATGTTATGATTTTTACGATTTTTATGATGTGATTATTTTATGATTTTATGATTTTATGATTTTATGATTTTATGATTTTATGATTTTATGATTTCATGATTTTAGGATTTTATGATTTTATAATTTCATGTTTTTTTTTTTTTGGATTTTATGATTTTTATGATTTTGTGTTTTTGCCTATGGGTTTATACCTGAAATAAATGATTATTATTATTATTTTCTTTATATACATATTATTTACATTTTTAAATATACACTTTATAAAAAAAAAAAACATTTAAAAATATAAAAAATAGTAGACCACCGACATCGGGTACAGGGACCAAGACACCGGTGGTTAGGACTCCAAAGATAGGAACCTAACCTAAACCTTTTATTATTATTATTATTAGAAGAAGGTAGTTTATTGAAACTCACTTTTCATAAAATAACATTTATTATATCTACACCCCGCGACCCTCCGTGGCTCGCCCGCGCGCATGCCCGGTAGTGACGGTAGTACCCGAAAATCCTTTGCGCGCGACACCCGTGTCACTCTTACTCCTAAGTTTAAGGTCCTTATGTATTCTCGTTTATGTAATGTTTAGTGTGTAATGTGTTTTGATAAAGTAATTAAAACCTACCTGTTACGAGTCACGCGTTTCATTATACTAACATTATACTGGCTCCCAACGTATGGGCCGATGTTCTAGACTGTTCGAATAGAGCACGTAAAGAGTAAACGAGTAAAGTTCGTAATAACGACTCCAGTTCGGACGATGAACCTGTTTCGGTGACAGAGACACCTGTGGCTCCAGTGCTTATGTCTGAAACTTAGTTAGCATCGCTCCTGGCCGCCTTCTCTTCGGCGCAGGCCGAGGCGAACCGGAAGCTCGTCGAGTCACTACTGACATCGCACTCAGGGACGCCGCCCAGTGTGAACTCCGGCGCTACACCGTCATCTTATTCTGGGAATCTCGTCAAATGCACCTCGCGCTTCGATGGTTCGTCGGAGTATCCGCAGGCGGTCGAGGCATTCATAGACGCCGTCGAGATGTTTATGGATTGCGCTTCGGTCAGCGATGAGATGGCACTTCGTGGACTCCCCATGTTATTACATGGGCAAGCAAAGCAGAAACAAAGAAGTTACAGTCTTTTGATTTGCGAATCGAGTACACTTCTGGGAAGGCTAATGTGGTGGCCGACACACTCAGCCGCCCAGTTATAGATAGTACATCGGGATGTGGTGTCTGTCCGGTCACCGTGGACATTCCACGATGGGACGCCACATCTACCCGCGAAGCTCAATTGTCCGATCCAGAAGTAGCTAAGATTCTCACTGACTTAGAAAGTACTGACGAATTGTCCGTACACCGTTGGTCGGATAGAGGGTACCTTATCAATCAGGGAGTATTGTACAGGTATGTATAGGATTCGGATGCTGAAGAGCTTTAGCTGGTCGTTCCGGAGAGCCTGAGAAGCAAAGTCATGTACGAGTGTCACGACTCGCCGACCGCTGCTCATGGGGGTATCCAGAAAATTCTTCATCGCATATCCCTGCAGTTCTACTTCCCAGGCATGAGGAAGTATATTACCAACTACCTGAGTACCTGTACGGAGTGTCAGCGGTACAAGTCCTTAAACCTGAAACCACTTGGTTTACTCCAGACTCCTGTACCCGCACAGAGATTTGAGATCATCGCTGTTGACCTCTTTGGACTGTTACCTAAAGGGCCTCAAGGCGAAAGGTGGGTTTTAATGATAGAGGACAGCGCTAGTAAGTGGGTTGAACTTTTTGTCCTTACCGAAGCTACAGCCGAGATCTGTGCGAAAACCTTAGTGGGTGAGATTTTTATGAGGTATGGACTCCCTAGGCGTATGATCTCCGACAATGGAGTTCAATTCGTAGCTGATGTAATGCAGAAGGCGTTGTTTGTCTTAGGTGTGAAACAGAGCCTGATACCACTAAATCATCTCGAAGCCAACCCGGTAGAGAGAAGAAATCGGGACTTAAAGGCTCACCTAGCTATTCTTGTAGAGGGCAATCACAAGCAATGGCCTGAGGTTTTACCGTTCGTCCGTTTTGCTCTAAATAGCTCCTTTACCGTTTCCACCTTTTCTACTCCAGCTTACTTGACATTCGGTCGCGAGCTTCGCTCTCCCCTCTCTGTCCAGGCTGATTTACGAGCAGGTATCGAATCTGAGAATTTGGTCCCTCAGATCACACCGTACCTTCTGAAGCTGGTTGACTCTCTCTCTCAAGCTAAGGAGAATATCGAGCATCAGCAGGATCTTCGTAAGCATCAAGCGGATTCCGGCCGTCGGGCTTCGGATCCTTTCAAAGAAGGCGATCTTGTGCTTATGAAGACACATGTCTTAAGTAATGCTTCCAAGTTTATTCCGAAACAGGATGGTCCGTATGTAGTCTCCAAGAAGGTGAGTCCCACTTACCTGACAGAAGACTGGTGAAGTTGTTGGTAATTATCACATGTCGGATCTGCGTAGATACCATGACAGAGGTGGTGAGTGTCCGGAGCCTATTGTTCCGAAGCGCCGCAGAGGTCGCCCGCGGAAAGTCCAACCGTACGTTCACTATTTATTTCTAGAAGTTTGACCAATGAGATTTCGCCTCTTTTTCAAAAGGGGGAGAGTATAACGTGCGTCCCTGGTACCCCTCTTACCCCGTCGTGCGACACCCCGCGACCCTCCGTGGCTCGCCCGCGTTCTAGCCCGGTAGTGGCGGGAGTACCCGAAAATCCTTTGCGCGCGACACCCGTGTCACTTTTGGTTGCGCCCGCGCTCCTAAGTTTAAGGTCCTTATGTATTCTCGTTTATGTAATGTTTAGTGTGTAATGTGTTTTGATAAAGTAATTAAAACCTACCTGTTACGAGTCACGCGTTTCATTATTCTAACATTATAATGTTAATTTAAATATCATGGTCACGATATCGTAATATAGCAAAAAATAATGTGACGTATACAAATATATAATAAAATATAGGACACAAGCCAACGGCAACGCCATTCGTTCGATTTCGATTTGACACTCGGAGCGAGCGGGCGTGCTGTGGAGTTGGGTGCCTATGTGCATAATTGCGTGGTGTTTTATTATAAGTACCCCTACATAAAAAGTGGATATCACATTGGCGACGAGTAAAATAAATGTTCATATGTACCCTGCTTCAGATTCGGTCAACAAAAAAAACAAAGTTAGGAAGTGAAGGTGAGTTAGGAAGTTAGGAAACATCTGTAAAATGTGCATTTTGTCGGAGTATAATAGCATAACATATCTTGTAATATAATGCAATATGATACTTGAACCGTAATCGACCGTAGTATGTATGTAGCATAAATTGCTGTTGACAGTATTACGAGTGTTTTTAATTTAGATCGTAGCTATATCTCGATCTAAATATTTACATTATGGGAGGGTTTGAGTGTGAATTGTTGACCGAAGCTGGTTGCAAATAAATGCAAACAACAGACTTTATTGGAATAAATTATCTCGCCAATTATGTATGTACCAACGTCTTTAAAGCGTTAATACTAAAATGAAAATTTTATAAGTGATGCTAATGTGCCTAACATTGTCTGTCGGTATATGAAACAAAGATTTATAATAAATCAATACCCACATAGTGGTAACAAGGGATATTCCTGGTTTAACACTCTACAAACATGCTTATTTTGCGATGTCCTACATCTTAGTTATCTAATTCATACTTATGCTTAAATAGCGTATTTAATACAAAATAAATATCAATTTAAAATAAATACAAACATTTGATAAAACATTTTATAATACCCTCATTTTAAAGCGCCTTAAAAAGGTTAATGGTTTTAATATTATAATTAGTTTAATTTTATATGATAGTCCGATCGCTCTTCTTAGTGTGGACTATGTGGCCCAATCTGTTGTCAAGTTTAATTTGCGCTACAAGTCTGTTAGTACTAGAAGAGATAATATTTGGGCCTGTTGCCCTAGTGGTTGGAGATCCTGACTTCTAAGCCAGAGGTTGTGGAGTCGATACCGACCCAGGACAAATCATTGCGTGATGAGCAGGATTTTATACAAAATATTTATAAGCTCGCATAAGTCACGTAATTCACAATTGAAAGTTTTTAACAGAAGCTGGCGTTAGCTGAATAGTTATTTTACGCAATCGTTCGGTTTGAGACCAGAATTTATGTAAAATCACAATGAATTACTGAAATACATGCGGGGGCAAATATTATATTCTGCGTTATATTATATATGGTACAGTAACCTTTTCACAGTGAAACTACTAAATGATTTGATGAAGCTTGTAATTTTATCATCCTAGCTTTTGTCTACGGCTCCACCCGAGTATGTCGGTTTTGCAGTAAAAAGTAGCCTATGTTATACATCTCTGTGTAAAAAGTATCGGGAATATGTCAATATAAAGACCCGCGTAAAAGTAGTCGTTCTAATTTTTTTACTGCATGTTGGTAGCACTGTACTGATTAAGCAAACAAAGTTCTCGACCAAGCACCGTATTCACCTGATATGGATCCGTCTGACTTTTTTTTATTTCCCAAGTTAAAATTACCACTTCGAGGAAAACGTTTTGAGTCGATAGAAGCCATAAAAGAAAATTCGCTGAATGAGCTAAAGGCCATACCGCAAATAGCCTATGAAAAATGTATGGAAGACTGGGTGAAGCGGTGGAGATGTTGTATTGCAAGCGATGGGGCCTACTTTGAAGGCGATAAAATAAATTTAGATGAATAATTTGTATTTTTTGTTTTATTGACAAATTCCCGATACTTAGTACACAGAATGTATAGCTTTCCATTGGTGTTTTTTTTTTAAATCGGTTTAGTAGCTTAGGTGTGGAAGCGTAACAAACTAACAAACTAACTCACTATCACATTTATAACAAAGGTATGAATTCTGTTGTGATGTATAAAGGATGTCGGAGGAAAGCATGTAAATATATCTTTACAAAGTATAACATAAAGTCAGTTAATACTTAATTTTCAATCACAAAGTAGGAAAAATGTTCTGCACTGGATTCCCTCATATGTTGGCATTAGGGTGAGTGATATTGTTGACCAATTAGCAAAAGAAGCATATTAGAATGGCATCACATTAAATGTATTGCCTTTACATACTGACTACACCAGATGCGTAAAAGAAAAATGTTATATGTGTTGGCAAGAATATTTTGATGAGAGATCGAGAGAGAAAGGTAATTGGTACCGTATAATACAGCCGAGTACCTAAATACCCATGAATCGAAAACGTGGAAATATTGCATATAAAGAAGATGTCTTGTAGTATAGTCCACACATAATAATAGTATAATTAATTATTCCACACTGAAACCACATTAGTAGTATTAGTAGTATCCACATTGCACCCGTGCGAAGCTGGGGCGGATCGCTAGTATTTTATACCTTAGGTATTGCAATCTTCTCGGTTCTCCTTTTTCAAAATAACAACAGTCCACAGTTAACATTCTATAAGATATTTTGTGAGAGGTAACCATATTTTATAACGGCTAGCTTTTGCCGCTCGCGCTGACTTAGATTTTTCAAAAAAATTCAAGCATCCTGATAAATGACCCTGTATATACCCTTGACGTTGTACTACCTACGAGGGTGCGTTTTTAAGTTCGCGGAATGAGAGGGTTGGAGGCCCCCCTCCAACCCTCATTAGGCTCATTAGAATCGTCACGTGTTCAGTGACTCATAATTAGTATAAATACCAGGTTTCATTGTTATTAGACAATTAGTCTTTGAGTTATCGTCAACCAAGCAACATAATCGGGAGTGAAAAGTGAAACATGGAAAAAATCTAATATCGTGCCGTTATAAAGTGCCTTACCAAGCAAGGAAAATCAGTTGCGACCATAATGAATGAGATGTCATTGGTTGACGGCGACTCTTGTCCAGGAAAACCCATGGTGTACAAATGGCACAGTTTATTTAAACAAGGAAGGGAATCCCTTGAAGACGACCCGAGGCCGGGCAGGAGCATCGAGGTGATCATGCCAGAACTTATCCAAAAAGTCGAAAACTTGTACTCGACGATGCTCGACTAAAGAAGAAACAACTCGCA